TAAGCTTTAAAATGAGTACTTCTGCGTGTAAAATGAGTAAACTATCATGCAAATAAAAGACGCATATAATGTTTTTTCATTTAAATAAAATAGTTTTTCAGTGCCATTTCCACCAAATTTAAAAATAATGGTATTCCATCTAGAATTAACTTGGTTTAAGAGATCTTGATGGATTCTAGAAAAGACCACAACTTTGGTACAAACGATTTTCAAAAAACTCATGATTTCATAAAAAAACATTAAAAAAATCCAATTTCTCATTATAATATCTCTGAAAGAATACGTATAAAGGTATATATATATTCATGAAAATTCGAGGTATTTTTCTGACTAATTATTGTTGTTTATTATTTTTCTTCGCCGTTTCACAATAAGAGAAGTTACGGTAAAATTTATGATAAAGAAAGTTGTAGCTCATTTAATCACCTTTAAAATAGTGTATTACAAGTTCTGATAAAATCAGAATTAAAAGATTAATAATCCAATTAATGCGGTGGATGGTGACGTAGTGCAAATTGTTTTCACTTCTGAACTTAAGATAAAGATTAGCCTATTTCCAAAATATCAAGTAAATTGGAGCACAGTAAAAAAATTCACAGAGCACAAATATTAAAAAATGTTCAATAAAATTGTATATTAAAAATTATACACTGCGATTTATAGAACAAAATTTCCAATAGCTCAATTTATTTTATTGCGTTTAAGGGTTATATAGTATTTTTAGTCATACCTGTAGATGTGAATGTATAAATGAATGATTTTTTGTTTATTCACGACTAAAACATTGATTTTCCAAATTTATCACACTAAAAATGATCGTCTGCCTTTGTGATTTATGTCACAGCATAACATACACGTGTTGAAAATTGAAATCTTTTAAAAAGTACAACAAATTCAGAAAGAATTACTATATAGCATTCGCGGCAAAGGTGCAATATCACCTTTTATTTTCTACCCAAAATAATTGCTTCAATAATGTTGCCTATAACTTTTATAATTTTGTACCATATTTTAACTGGCTTTTAGTAATTTTAATATCTAAATTACATTTTTTTCACTAATAAATCAATATACATTATTGCTTAAGTTTATATTTGAAGTAAATTAATTTGTCAAATCCTGTTCACATGTGCTCTATTCAACTTACGATCAACAAAATTATGCTATATAGTATTATGCCGCATATATATTCTATAAATCGCAGTGTATAATTTTTAATATACAATTTTATTGAACATTTTTTAATATTTGTTAAATGAATAATTAAAGTGTTAACTGTGGGAATTGAGAAGAATCATTTTATTTGAAACAGTTCTACATTCAACATCACTCATATATTGGTGTAAATAGTAATTCAAAAAACAGTAATTATTATTTTTAACTAAGCAGTAAATATTAGTATAAAATATTGTAAAATTGTAGGCTTGGGTACAGAACAACGTCTGTCGGGTCAGCTAGTATATATATAAATATATATATATATATATATATATATGTGTGTGTGTGTGTGTGTGTGTGTGTGTGTGTGTGAGTATTCTGTACACATATGAGTAGATGATAACTTCGTTACTCTGATATAAAATGAAAGTTGCAGAAAGACTCCCCGACATCGTTGGCAGAAAATAATAACTTGATTTGCTGAACTCGAATTACTGATAAAAGATAACAGATAACATCTAATAGATAATAATAGATAACTGACAGATAAGCGGATAAGTCCATTAGCAACTAGCACGAGGAGGAAAAATCGATCCATTTACACATGTATATATATATATATATATATATATATATATATATATATATATATCCATCACTGTGTCCATTTTCAATTCAGAGTTCCTACATCCAATCCGTCTTTGTCAAAAGCGTTCCGCTAGATTTATAGCTTTCTCTCGTAAGAAAAATGCTGCAGCTCTCGCAAACTGATAGCTAATCGAAAAAATAATGTCCTGGGATAAAAAGGATATGAGGAGAAGGGCTTAAGGTTTTAAGGATGGTAACAGTAACAGTTGGCATTCCACTATATCGGATTTTCTTTCGAAGGGAAAGGGAAAAAATTGCGGTATCGAATGTCAAGGGGGTAAGTTCATGTAATCGATATCAACAAAAAAATCGGCATAGATAAATAAACATTTTAAAGTTACATCTTAGTACAAATCTTGATTTAATGAAAAATGCCCAAAATCAGAAGAATATTTTACCCTGTTCCTTGAAAATATTAAAACAAATTAAACATTTGTGCCGTGTACTAAACGTAAGTTTATTGATTAGAAATTATTTCTATATTATTCGTAAATAAAAAGGAACTACTGACGACCAAACTAAAATGAAAAAGCGAGGAGGACTCTACTGACGAACAAAATAAAAATAAAATTCAAAGAGACTCTACTGATGATTAAATTAAAATTAAAGGTAAAAGGGACTATACTGACGAGCATACTGAAAGGGACTCTTCTGACGAGCATACTAAAAATAAAATTAAAAAGTGACTCTATGCTGACGAGTAAAACTAAAAATGAAAGAAAAATAAACTCCACTGTTAAAAATGGAAGAAAATGAGACTCTACTGACGATCAAACTAAAAATTAAAGGAAAAGGGACTCTACTGACGAGCAAACTAAAAATGAAAAAGGGAAGGGGACCCTACTGACGAGCAAAATAAAAATAAAATTAAAAATAGACTCTACTGATGATTAAATTAAAATTAAAGGTAAAATGGACTCTACTGACGAGCAATCTAAAAATAGAATTAAAAAGGGACTCCACTGACGAGCAATCTAAAAATAACATTAAAAAGGGACTCTACTGACGAGCAAAACTAAAAATAAAAGAAAAATAAACCCTATTGATAATTAAATTAAAATGTAAGAAAATGCGACTCTACTGACGACCAAACTAAAAATTAAAGAAAATGGACTCTACTGACGACCATACTAAAAATGAAAAAGGGAAGGGGACTCTACTGACGGGCAAAATAAAAATAAAATTCAAATAGACTCTACTGATGATTAAATTAAAAATTAAAGAAAAATGGACTCTACTGACGAGCAATCTAAAAATAAAATTAAAAAGGGACTCCACTGACGAGCAATTTGAAAATAACATTAAAAAGGGACTCTACTGACGAGCAAAATTAAAAATAAAAGAAAAATAAACTCTATTGATAATTAAATTAAAATGAGACTCTACTGACGAGCAAACTAAAAATTAAAGGAAAAGGGACTCTACTGACGACCAAACTAAAAATTAAAATGGGAAGGAGACTCTACTGACGAGCAAAATAAAAATAAAATTCAAACAGACTCTACTGATGATTAAATTAAAATTAAAGGTAAAAGGGACTCTACTGACGAGCAATCTAAAAATAACATTAAAAAGGGTCTCTACTGACGAGCAAAACTAAAACTAAATTCAAAATTGGACTTGTAGTTTCTATAAATCTTTGAAGTTATTAAAATGGAAAATATTTTTTAGGCAAGACAGATATTACAGCTGTTCAAAGAATGAGATTATATCGCCAGCGAAAAAGTAATAAAAAAATACAAGCAGTCAATGAATGTATGTTAATTTTAATTACATGAAGTTCTTCAAACACAATTATTACATGATGAGTGAAATTGCGGAAACAATATTTGTTTAGGCGTTGTTAGGGATAGGATACCAAAAATACAGGACCTGAGATAATGCAAATATTAATAACAATTATACCACCAAATCTTGTTATCTATTACCCACCCCCATCTCCATTTATTACTTCTGATCCTTAATTCTCAATAAGGGCAATAAAGCATATTCCACCGCAATTTGCACATTGTTCCCCTACCTTTAAGGGTTTCCTTTCAGGGTTGAGTCAACAACAAGGAGTCGAGTCGAATCGAGTGGCACATCTGTTGTGCGGGATTAACAGGCCGTGTAAATGTGTAAATGTATACATACATAACCCTTGTTAATAAATTAGGGTCGTCGGTGGAGGAAGAGGAATGGATCGGTAAAGAATAAAAATTGTTCCAAGAATAGTGATATTCAGATTGCTGACCTAGGCAAGTCCAAAACAAGTCAATTGTCAAGGCAGTAGATGGGGATGTTGAAAAAATTATTTGTAATCATGACTATTTTACTAGCCACCTGGCTTTGAAGTTAAGTTTACCTAGTGAAGTAGACATGATCAGAAGACTATTTTAGGAAATTTATAGCTGTCTTTTGTAACTTTTTTCAGCGTCTTCGACTACTGCCTTATTTTGTTATAGACATGCCTAAGTTAGCAATTTTAATGTCACTCTCTGAAAATTTGTTTTCTTCAACGTCCCTGATATTGCTATTTTTGGTCAGTATTTATAGTTGACTCTCATTTTTTGGACACTGTCCAAATACTTTTCCAACCAATTTCTAAATTTTCCTTATTTTTCACCTGTTGTCTTGATGTGAAGATACTTAGGTAAAAAATTATAATTTACTATTTCTGGGACTAGCTTGACACCCGACTCTAGTAAAGTAGTCATAATCAGAATACTATTTTAGGAACTGCTTTGTAGCTGACTTTATTAACTTTTTTCAACGTCCTCGACTACTGCCTCGACTTGTTATGGACATGCCTAAGTTAGCAATTTTAATGTCACTCTCTGAAAATTTGTTTTCTTCACTGTTCCTTATATTGCTATTTTTGGTCAGCATTTATAGTTGACCCTCATTCTCTTGAGACTGTCCAAGTTTTTTTCCACCCATATTCTAAATTTTCCTTATTTTTTATCTGCTGCCTTGATGTGAAGATACTTAGGTCAAAAATTATAATTTAATACCTCTGAAAACTGCTTACCTGACTAGTAAAGTAGTCATGATCAGAATACTATTTTAGAAAATTGATATCTGACTTTAGTAACTGCCTAGGTTAGCAATTTTAATGTCACTCTCTTTGGGAATTGCATTATATTTGATTCTAGAAAAAAATAGTCATGCAGAGAATTTGTTTCCTTCACCGTTTCTTATATTGCTATTTTTGGTCAGCATTTATAGTTGACCCAAGTTCTTTTCCATACAATTTCTAAATTTACCATCTTTTTCACCTGTTGTCTTGATGCATTGACCTGTTGTGGAGATACCTAGGTCAAAAATTATAATTTACTAATTCTGGGACCAGCTCTACATCTGACTATAATAAAGTAGTCATGATCAGAATACTATTTTAAGAAATTTGTAGCTGACTTTAGTAACTTTTTTCAACGTCTTCGACTACTGCCTTGACTTGTTATAGACATGCCTATGTTAGCAATTTTAATGTCACTCTGTGAAAATTTGTTTCCTTCAACGTTCTTTATATTGCTATTTTGGTCATTTTTGGTTCTTTATATTGCTATTTTTGCTACTGCCTGGACTTGTTTTGGACACACCTAGGTTAGCAATCTCATGGGGCAATTCTGTCATAACAGAGCTCATAAAGTCGTCACTCTTTTTGGGAACTGCTATATATTTAATTTAAAAAAAAAACATCATGCAGAACTATTTTTTCCTTCGCCATTCTTTCCCTCGACTCCTTTTTTCCACCAAAATGAAAAATATAAGTCCTTTATTTTTGGTAACTAAATAATTAACAAAAAAGTGCAAAAGTTTTCATCCACTGAATTCATTTTGAAAATTCAAAAAGTGCTTCCAAGATATCATCTAATCAGTTTTTGGCAAAATCAAGAATTTTATAGTCGATTCGATCAACCCCTCTGTCTAACTTTCGACGTATTGATCTAAGTGGAGCATAGACCAATCCATCCCCCCAAAACCATAATTATCATTTTCTGCAGAAAGTGAGGAGAAGATTATTAGAAAAATATTGAATTACCTCTATCGCCGGTCGGTGCGAGAGGGACGGAGCGATGGGCACGAGTGCGCGAGTGAAAGTGAGAGAGAGAGTGCGAACGCGGGCTGTCAGTCGTACGAAAAGTTGTTTTATGAAACTGACATTCGTTGAGGGGATTAAGGGCCAGATTCGAATCAGATTATGAGATTAGCTGTCAGCGAATATACTCATATATATATATATATATATATATATATATATATATACATGTGCAATACAATATTGATTTGTATAAAGAAAAAATGGTGATTTTATAAGTTTTGCTGAATTTACTCTGTTTCCTTTTATCAATCACATCAAAAATTGTTCTAAGGTCTGATTGTGCCCTATTATTTTTTCCAATTAGAGATTCCTCTGTCTGTGTACCTTTTTTAAAGTTAGTACTAACCTGTACTCTTGCTTCCGTCAGATTAATTTTCATGGCCAAGTCTTCTCGTGTGAAGACGTCCGGATAATGTGTCTGGGCGAAGGCCGTTTCTAATTCTTCTAACTGGAAAAATATTGCAAAAATTAGCAAAAAAAATCTTATAGATTATTATATAAGAGTATTTTTTTTTTTACCTGTTGTAGTGTAAACGTCGTCCGGTTTCGACGTTGTTTTCGTCTGACGAACGAGTCGTCGTGAATCGCAGGGTGATAGGAGTAACTCGTGTCTGGAAAATAAAAAATAGTGTTAATTTTTTTTTGGAAACATCAAATTAGTAAAAATAGTATTATCAATGTTTTTTAATTTCTAGAACCTTAAGGTTGAGCCAATTTCGTTTGAAACGCCTACAAAATATAAAACTCAAATGGGATTTTTCCAAATTTTATTTGAAAATTAGAACATGCTTTAAGCTACATTTTTAACTTCCAGTAGGGTAAATTATAGTAATCGCAGAACAATCTAAAATGAAAATTTTTATATATCTTTACGTTTCTAAGGTTTCTGAACATTTTGGCATACCTTCTGAACAAAACGGATGTATGTGTGTGTTCGGATACAAATTTTTGTCGAGGATTTTGCGAACACGGATAAACTGATTTGGACAATTAAAAAAACATTCGATTCCTATTGATAAGGAGACGTGTTTATTAGTTTTTGGCAATGGTAGGTCCAGCCGTTTCGGAGATACAAAGTTAAATGTGCAAAAAATGGCAGGTTTTGAGAAAACTAAGTATCCGATTTGAATGATTCAAAAAACTTTCTGCTTATGTTGACGAAACGATTGCTTTTGGTGAAAGAATTTGTTTCATTTTTTTTTTTAATTTACAAAAATATTTTTTGGCCCAAAAAGATTAATAAAAGTTAAAGTATTTATAATAATCTATTTGAAAACATTGAATATTCTTCGAATCTTTCTTTACCGTTCTAGGGAAGTTCCTGTAATTTGCTTTAAGGCACGATACACCACTAGTTTTTTTTTAATTTCTAGAACTTAGGGCAAGTTTAGGTTAAGCCAATTTCGTTCAAAATGCGTTGAAAATATAAAACTCAAAAGCGATTTTTGGAAAATTTGATTTGACAAATACAACATACCTTAGTCTACATTTTTAAAAAAATTATATATGTACTTTTTGCAAAAAAAGTTTATTTCATTTTTTTAAGTAGCCATTTAGTTTTTTCCCCAACAATTTTTACTTCATTCACATTTTTTAAAAGATGTTACAAGAACATAATTTTAAAAATCATATTTTTTTTATATATTAGAATAGTGCATAATATCAGGTTTAGAAATTACGTATCTTAGATTATTTTGACGATAAAACGTTTGAATTTTCTTTTTAAATTAAATGGGAGTTCCTCAAGGTTTCAAACCAAGACTACAAAATTGAAATTGAAACAAATTGAAATTGAAAAAAATGAAAAGCATATTTGATGAACTAAAAAATACATTTTTTAAATAAATAATGAACACTTTAAACAACAAAAAATATTGCAGTTTCAAGAAATTATGAATAGAAAAATTGTGTGTTTTTTTACTTAAAAATTGATTGCTAAATTATATATACAGTAAAATTGAATTCAATAAAGAAACGTAAATAAATGCTGCTAATGTGTCCATTGTCACAAATCGTGAAATCAATTTAAGATTCGATATGGTGTCATTTTATAAATGTGCCATTGTTCGAAATGATATGTTATATATATATATATATATATATATATATATATATATTTCATAATAAAATCGTACTGTGTCATTCCATTGTGCAATAAACCAACTATTAATAAAATGGATAAACCTTTCCTACGTTTCGAGTCCTTATTTGACTTATTTTCAGTGCATCCACTGCCAAATATTTCATAATAAAATAAATATATAAAATAAAGTAATTTAAAGTTATAAAAATTATTTCATATCATTACGATGTCGTCACATGTCACATCTATCTACATCGATGTCGTCATTATTATTCTTTATCGATGTTGATACATGTAATTTAAATCGATATCCTTTAATTCTATTGTGTTCTCGAAACGATATCAAACGATAATTCTATGTCATTATTGTTGAAGGAATTCTGAGTATTTGTCATTTGTGTGCACACCTCTCCACCCGCCCTCAATCTTTTATTATATATATATATACACCTAAGTCTGTTTTTACACGGTCTTTTTGTACACGGTTTTGATATAACACGGTTTGAAAATTGAATATTTTTAATTTTTTTACACGATTTTATTCCATTTAGCACGATTTGAAATTTTATGTACTTAAATTTTTTTTGTCAAATTTAATTTTTGCGAAGTATGTTCATATCACAAAAAAGTAACTATTTATGAAGGAAAAAAGTCTGAAACCATCGATAGTATCGATAGTTTGCGAACACTAGCTTAAAGATTTAATAAAATAAACATGAATTCTTGTTCTTAAAAATTCTTGTTTTTCACTAATTTTAATAGGTTTTAGAGATTAGGAATAAATCACCCATTTTTGTATAAGATCAATGTCTTTTTTTACACGTTTTTTTTTTACGCGGCTTCTTCTGGAACCAATCTACCGTGTAAAAACAGACTTAGGTGTATATATATAAATATATATATATATATGTTTAATTTGAGTTTAATATTCGGGCGTAACATCAATAAAAATAGTATGAGTTTTTTTAAAAAATTTATTTATTTAAAATCCATACGTTTCGGCTAGCATCTTAGCCATCATTCAGTGGTAATCAAGTTAACTATAAAAATTAAAACTAAATAAATTATATGAAAGGAAATTTCAAGAAAATACAATAATAATAATAATAGTAATAAAACACTTACAATTTTGTATCCTAATATAGCATATGAAACCATTATTAATCCATGGTATGAGTATGTGCACATTGATAAGATATGTATTTTTTACACAAACATCACAAATGGTAAAACACACTAATAATCATGATAACTTGACAAGTTGTCGAAACTATGTATTTACTCTTCGGAGTTTAGGATAGAAATGTCACACTTTCTCAAAGTAGTTTTTAGCATGTGTTGATATTTTTTGGAAAATTTAAAAGGCGATGGGATTTTGTTATTTTTAAGGAATTTTGACACGCTATTAAGAAACCACGTGTTCGCTTCGTTCAGGCCGTATTGTCAAAGCGTTTGTTTATCACTTTGTCGTTATGTAATTGTAAAAACAACCCCTCAGCGAATCTTCTTTTAATTGTATTCTCTTCAAAATGTAAATTTTAGGGTTAAAAAAATCGATATTATGATTAAAATTTTTAATATGCTCAGTTAACATTGTTTTAAATTGCTTGGATTTTTTGAATTATTTTTGTGTTGATTAAGGCGTTTACTCAGGTTTTGGCTAGTTTCTCCATATAAAAGAGTTTCGCAATTAGAGCAATTAATTTGATATACCAAATTCCTGAGGCGGTCAAAATTGAACTTAGATTTCATTTGTGTAAAATTGAACTAAGGGTTGCATCACAATTACATACCAACAGAATGCCACACTGTTGAAATAGTTTTTTCCACGAGAAATATAAATCTTTTACGTACGGTAGGCAAATGACACCAGTATATGATTCTAAGTCTAAACGGGTTTTATGGTCTGTGAGGTCTTTTTGTTGTTAAAAATGTAACTGCGTCTGTTATTTATGACCGAGTTGATTATGTTCGTAGGATATGAGTTGTTTTTTAGTGTGTTTATAACCAGGTCAATGTTCTTGTCCCAGAAGTTTTTGTCAGATAGTAATATGGCGTGGTCTGTTAAATTTATTATTGTCGCTATTTTCATTTTAAGAGGGTGGTATGAGTGGTAATTTATGTATCGTCCGGAGCTAGTTGGTTTCTGGTACCAGTTAGTAATTAGTCGGTGGTCATTTGTACGTATTAGTCTGATGTCTAGAAAACTAATCGAATTCACTGTCTCTAATTCTACGGTAAACTGTAGTTTTTTATTAAAATTGTTAAAATTATCAGTAAATATGTTAATGTCTTCTTCCGGAATACAAGTAATGATATCGTCTACATATCGGTAATAAAAGATTTGTTTATTATAATTATTAAAAATTTTGTTTTCTACTAATTGTAAGGAAATTTCTACTAAAGACGGAGATGCGGGAGATCCCATTGGGTGCCAAAAATTTGGTAATAAAATGATCCATTAAATTCAAAAATAGGTGTTAGAGACAATGAATTTGATGATTTCTCTA